AAACACCATTATTTCGGCGAACAAACAGTTCTTAGAGACAACAAAATTAGACCGAATGGATGTATTGAACTCTATTAATGGCATCGGTTTAGTGGAGCGACAGTTGGATATAATGTCTAAATCTAAAAAGCAAACAGTTTTTGGGCACAAAATATTCAACGGAATCCGTTTGGGAGGACACAGTCTTGTGGGGGGAACTGTCGATGGCGTCAAGTTATCGCAACTCAAACAAAACCTTCTTTTACGCAACACTTCTCAACATTTTGACGAATTGGAGATCAAAGGCGACGCTTTCTTTGACGGAGGGATGGCTTTAAAGTCGGCTATAAATGGCATTAAAATAGAAGATCTCTATAATAAAGCGCTTAAACTGACGGACACTCGTATTCAGGGATTTGCACACTTTCTGATGAACAACGCTATCATGAAGTCAATACATTGTCCCGCAATTAATGAGTTGAATATAGCATCGGATCTGATGACCAAAAACACTCCACAAGAGATTTTCGGTCAAAAAATATTTTCTAATGGAGTGAAAGTGGACAACAACTTAGTTGTCGATCACATCAATGGAATCGCTTTGGACTTCGTTAACGACACTCTTCTCTATGACACGAATCAAGTGATCACTGGAGAGAAGGTATTTGTGGGCGACTTATGGATCAAGAATTTGAAAGTCAATACAATGAACAACATCTCAATGCAAGACATCGTCCGATTGAATGCCGACGAAGTGATAACTGCGCCCAAAGTGTTCAGTGATGTCCGCGTTTACAGCGATGTCAATGTCCACAGCTTTGACTCGGATGTCATAAATGGGGTCCAAATGAAAGGACTTTTCGAAAACAGTCTTCAGTTCGAAAGGCCTCAGACACTGACCGGTCGACTCAACTTTGACTCCATTGTCATCCCAAAGGCGACCAATTTTGAGACCCAATCCCTAAACGGAATTAATTTAAAGCATTTGATGTCAGACGCCGTCCTCACAGATACCCCGCAAACCATATCCGGTGCCAAAACATTCCTCTCCCCCGTCACTGTCGATGCCTTGCATTTCAGNCGTCTGATTTGTTGGCCTCGGGTTCGGGCGACTCGACGGCCAGGATCTGGAATATGAGTGAATCGACACAAACGGCACAACAACTCGTGTTAAGACATTGCATCCAAAAAGGGTTTGAAAATAAAATCATTGATTTCGAGATCAAAGTGAATGAAATGATTGTATGGTTTCAGTGGTACCGAAGTTCCATCCAATAAAGACGTGACTTCTCTGGACTGGAACTCCGACGGAACACTTCTGGCGACCGGCAGTTATGATGGCTTTGCGCGTATTTGGACCACTGATGGCAGACTGGCGTCCACTTTGGGTCAACACAAGGGACCCATATTTGCCTTAAAGTGGAACAAAAAAGGCAATTATATTCTGAGCGCCGGCGTCGACAAAACGGTTGGTTTTCAAACCAAGTGTTTCTCGAAATTATCTATTCATTGATTGTGTACTCCATGACCGGTTAGACCATCATATGGGACGCGTCGACGGGTCAGTGCACCCAACAGTTCGCATACCATTGCGCGCCGGCACTGGACGTGGACTGGCAGACAAACGTGTCGTTCGCCTNTATTCATTGATTGTGTACTCCATGACCGGTTAGACCATCATATGGGACGCGTCGACGGGTCAGTGCACCCAACAGTTCGCATACCATTGCGCGCCGGCACTGGACGTGGACTGGCAGACAAACGTGTCGTTCGCCTCGTGTTCGACCGATCAGTGCATCCATGTCTGCAAATTGGGTTCAGACAAACCCATCAAAACATTTACGGGTCATTCCAATGAAGTAAATGCCATCAAATGGTGTCCATCGGGTTCGCTGTTGGCCTCGTGTTCGGACGACATGACGCTCAAGATCTGGTCCATGAAACAGGACTCATGTGTTCACGACTTGCAGGCGCACCAGAAGGAGATCTACACAATCAAGTGGTCGCCCACCGGCGCCAACACACAGAACCCGAACCTACCGCTTATACTGGCGTCGGCGTCATTTGACTCGACCGTACGTCTGTGGGAGGTGGAGAGGGGCACCTGTATCTACACACTGACCAAACACTCGGAACCGGTGTATTCGGTGGCTTTCAGTCCTGACGGGCGGTTCCTGGCGTCCGGCAGTTTCGATAAATGCGTTCACATTTGGTCGACACAAAGCGGACAATTAGTCCACTCTTATAAGGGAACGGGAGGCATATTCGAGGTCTGTTGGAACGCCAGAGGGGATAAAGTGGGTGCCAGTGCTTCGGACGGATCGGTATGTTATTTACAATTATTATTTCTACAGTATATACGGTATTTGATTAGAAATTGAATTGAATTTTGTTTCGTTTTGTTTTCAGGTGTTTGTGTTGGACTTAAGAAAATAAATATATTTTGTATTTACCTGTATTTTATCGTATCATTTATTTATACAATTATAATAAAAATAATCATTTAAAACAATTACTATGTTATGGTCTGTTGGAAGGGTATATCGACTGGAGAACCACTTCAGAGATATTTGTATGAAATTAAAATCATGATTAAAGCATTAAATTTTGCAAGTTTAAAATTACGTTTAATAGTTATTTTAATTTATATCAAATTTAAAGTGTATAATAAATAATCACATGCTTGTCATTCAGGTATACATTTACCGGTAAGTAAAATCTCAATTTATCAAAAATATTTATAAAGTAATAAAAGACTAAAACAAAAATTAAATTACAATTAAATTAATTGGAAGTGAATCGCGAATTTAAAACATGAGTTTCTTTGACACAAATATTTTCATTCTTATCATAGCATTGATTGTATGAAACGACAACGAAATGGCCCACAATTTGACCATTTCTTAGATCATTGCTGACAATAAAACTTTTGGCGTTTTGTACATCCATTTGGTCTACTCTTTGAAAGCCTGACGAGCCTTTCAATTGATAGATAAAAATAGTTCCTTTCGATAGCATTAACACTAAAACCCGTTTGTTGTCTAAAAATACAGATTCTATTTGAATGACTTCCATGTCTTTGATTTGCTGCACTTCCAGAAGAGGACCAACTCTTTTGTGGTTATATCTGAAGATACGGACCACAGGACTATGAGTTAGGGATGTCTTCTTCTCAGATGCAAACAGAAAAGCCATGGAATCGGACGGAATGTCAACGAAATGAATGGCAAAAGGATTGAGGATTTGAATGGTTTGGATGGAGTGATCGAAATGAGACAAACGTGAAGACCAGTCACTGATCGTTATGTCTGACATCCAGTCCTTCGGAGACCACGACTTGATTGAAGCCATAAGTGTTCGGTTGAATGAAGTGCTTCTCATTATTGTGAACTAAATGAAGGAATAAATGAATGAATTAGTGATGAAATTATGAGAAATAAAATAAAGTGTCAAATAATACCTGATCTCTGCCTAAGAGTGGAATCGTTTCTCTCAAATAAAAGTTTGCATTTCTGTTGAGACACACGACTATCGACTGTCCAAACACTCCGTTCACTACTGGTATGGCCATCACAAGACACGGTTCCGGGTTATTATCTGCAACTACTTTGATGTCCGACACACTCTGTGTGTGAATGACTGCTCTTTGGATGTATTGGTTTTGCTGTCCATCAAAGACAAACACTTGATTTATTAGAGGACCACTTCCTGAATGAGATAATCGCGAGAATGCATTCATTTTGAGACACTCTTCAGAATTAATGGTATTCTTTGAGTTCGTTATAATCACAAAGTGGTGACCATTTGATGTAAAAGTTGTCATTAGATTTGCTTCAATTGAATACAACTTCGAAAACATTTTAAACCCAATATTAGAGTTAATATAAACTCCAATCTCTTGACAGCCATTAGTCAAGTGTTGGCCAGAAATGAAGAGATGTTGAGAAGCAGTGATAGAGTTGTGATACGAAAGGAGTGCCGGACCTGAAGGTATGGATGCGTACAACGAATAGAAGGCTAATTCAAAGGTCTGCTGATCCAAAGCCCTCTCCAGAGATTCAATCTTTTGGTCTTCATTCTGAAGCCTAACTCTGAGGTCTTGTAAATCGATGGGAAGTCCGATGAAGTAATGGAGTTCATTGAGGTCTACGCCATCCACTCTTCCGAAGGCCATCACATTATTAACGGTAAGAGAAGTAAATGTTTTCAAAGAATTGATTGAATTATTATATCCTTTGAGAACAAGACTTTGTGATAGATTTCCGATATTAATGTCATTAACAGTATTGGAGTTGATCTCAGAATTTACAGTCAAGTGATTGTTCACAACTTTTAGGCCATTGATTCTTTGGTTTCCATAATTCAAAAGCAAAGCTCTTTCGGACACTTCGACACCATTTAAGAGTCTGAGCCTCAAGTGATCCACTTCTGCACTCTTCATGTTCTTTAGACCCGAAACTCCATATTTGTGTCCATTTCTTAGAACCGCATGTTTGGCCATTTCTGAGATGTCGACCCCTCCTATAGTCTTGTTATCACTTATAATCAAATGATTCTTAACGACAATATCCTCAACGAATATCTTGGGCGCTGTCACCACATTATCCCTTCATCAATTGTCTCTTTAAACGATCGCTAAGTCCTTACAACTGATCCCAACTGAAGACAACACACAACTGAACCACAAATGAGTGTCCGATATATAGCGGCCGGCTTTCGGCAGGACATGGAAGCGCTGTTCTCGCGGTTTATGGCCAAAGAGGACGAGCACACCATCGATGACCGGACCAGTGGTGATGAGACCCAGAGTGTGGTTAGTCTGCGGTTCAGTCGCTTCTGCGAGATCTGGCGTGAGATGTGCTTCTCGTATGTCTTCAGATTACGTGTCAATGAGAACGAGTTGAGGGAATTTGTGGACGAAATCTATTTGGAAGTCCTCCCGAATGTGGCCGAAGACCATCCCCTCGACCGTCGCGTCTGTGCTCTCTATCTGTTGTACTCTTTGTTTCAAAAACAGCCCAAACTGTCGGACAAAGTGAGGGACAGACAGAAGATAAGAATCAATTTCTCATATTTGGAGCAAATCCGAGATCTCATCGAAAGGTGCAAACGCTTGGAACAGTTGGACGTCTGCTATGTCTGGTATAAACTGTTGTCTTTAGGAGCCGTCCATTTGGTTCACGTCTCGCGACTTATGGGTCCGCTATATATCCGCAACAGTCGGGTCACGAATGAGACGCAAACCAAAACAGACTTTCTTATCGATCAGTTCCAGGTATTTGGCGCCACTCTTGCCATCCATTCATTCAATGATTGTCTAATGTATTACTCTTTGCATCCATTCAGACATCACTGAATCAGCCGTTCGAGGAGTTGTCGCACATTCACGAGAAGTACAGAGCCATGAAAGAGGCCTTATATGACGAGAGCCCGCAAACCAAACAATTGGATCAAATCCAAGACAATATGTTTGAGTTGAGTAAAGCAAAAATGGATAACTTGGCCAAAGAGTTCACTAACACTGCCGTCAAGACATCGGTTGACAATCAAATGGACGGCGAAGAGGAAGACAGCGATGGAGTGAATCAAACGTATGATCCGATCGGAGAAAAGCGACGAAAATTAAAGGAAAAAGCCTTCGGTTTTGGGATTAAGAGTAAGACAGAAGTGATGAATGAGACAACAGTTGGACATAATCTCAATGAAAGCAAAACACAGACTAAAATCAAACGCAGAGGTCGACCAAAGGTCTCGAAATTGACGGAAATTTTATAATTTATAAATCAATTGATCCCTTATTGGAAAAGTTAGCAAATTATTTATTTTCCTATATACGGTATACACAGACTAAACTCAAACGCAGAGGTCGACCAAAGGTCTCGAAATTGACGGAAATTTTATAATTTATAAATCAATTGATCCCTTATTGGAAAAGTTAGCAAATTATTTATTTTCCTATATACGGTATACCGTACTGCACTTGTATTGAATTTAATCGTTGAATCATTTATTTTTATATACAAAATCATAACAAATAAATTTATATTTAGCATTTTTACTATTTTATCGCAATTACCGGTATTTACGTTATCTATAATACCGCCAATAGACAAATGATTGATACGGTACTGAGGTTTGTCTCATTTGTTATCATTTACGATACGATAGCATCTGAGGTTCAATACTGTAAGTCCACTACAAACCCAAATGCAATGACCACACATGTGATTGATGTGCAAACGGACCGGTATATCAAACTAATGGCATAACATATTCAATAATAACTCATTTCGGAATTAAATGTAAATTTTATTCATTTAAACAAAAAGCGATCTTAAATACGAGTCTAACTCATGATTCCGGGAACGGGCACCGCTTTGGCCTCTTTAGACTCGGAGTAGGGCTGAGCCGGAATGATCTCCTCCTTGGGCTCCACAATGTTCACGTTGTCGGGCAGAGGCATCTTCGGGCCCTTCTTTCCAGTCATGTCCCAGGACAACATGATTTTCACCTGAAATACCATTCCATACAAATTGAGTGCAACTGTCAACCCGATGGCCAATCACTGCATACCTTAATGCCGAGCACTCCCTGTCTGAGGAGTACGTGTCTGACAGCGGTGTCCACGTAGTCTTTGGTGGGCTGTCCGGAGTGGATCATCCATCCGTCCACGAACTTCATGCTCTTAGCCCTCTGTCCCCTCAACTTGCCGCTGACCACCACTTCGCAACCCTTAGCGCCCGACTCCATAATGAATCGGAGGACACCATAACAGGCCCGCCGGACGGCCAGACCTCCGATCAGTTTATACCGGAGTGACTCGCACTGCGCGATAGCGCACAGACCTCTGTCCGACACCTTCTCGGCGTACATCTGATCCGTACAAACAACACATCAAACCGTGAGTGACATGTGGGGCACCGGTAGTGTCGACTTGCGCTCACCTCAACGGTTCCCTCCTGGAAGTTGAACCTCTTCTGGACGACACTCGTCAGCTCACGAATGCGTCGGCCCTTCTCGCCCAACACCGACTGCGTTCTTGTGGCCAGTATTATGATCTCAGTTCTGGTGGGACTCATGCGGACCTCCACACCACTGTATCCATCCTCAGCCAACTCCCGGCGCAGAAACTCATCCAATTCTGCTTTGAAGATGCCGTCCGACACGAACTGATGATAATGGATGGCATGAGTGAGTGGTCAAAGCGGTTAAATTGGGATCAAATCACTTACTTTACGCTTCTTTGAGATCGCTTTAGCCATCGTTTCAAAGGAAAAGGAAATCACAAACTCTTTACACAAAACACGTGTCCTTTCAGTCAAATACACGAAGGATTCGTAAATAACGTAACGCTTTCACACATACAGAGCCCTCTGTTGCAGACATTTGCCACTGAATGCACACAAAACACAATACAATTCAATCACTCATTCAATTGATTCATGTTTTCTGAAGTTGACGTCAAAAGCAAACTATCGTTCACTTGATTTCGGTGTCACTTTGGGATCAATACATCCAAAAGATTACCACAAAATGAGTTTCAGTTCGGATGAGGTATTCATTGAGTCACTGACTCATCCATTATTGACATTTGCTGTGATAATTGCTAACTTTGAGCCGATTATCTGTATTTGAGGTAAACTTCTTGGTCTACCGATACCTCCAGGAGTCGGGTTTCAGTCACTCGGCGTTCACTTTCGGCGTGGAGTCACACATCGCTCAGTCCAATATCAACGGAGCACTCGTACCCCCGGCAGCACTCCTGTCCATCATCCAGAAGGGCCTGCAGTTCACTGAAGCAGAGATCAGTATCGGTGAGGATGGCATTGAGCGTCAGATCGACTCCCTGTCCCTCATCGACGCCGTTATGCCCGATGTGGTCAGTACTCGACAGCGGGAGCTCAGCCAAAGAGCCGCTCAAAGCGCTGATAAGAATGATGTGGTGATGGCTGAAGACAACACCACGAAAGCCAACGACGACTCCAATGTGAACAACACCGCCAACGCATCCATGGGTGGCTCACAAGCGATGACAACCGCCAACTCGATGCAAGACAGCACTAACAGTGCCATAGAGATCCCCGCCTCCAAGGCTACCGTTCTTCGCGGCCACGAGAGTGAGGTATTCATCTGCGCCTGGAATCCGGCGTCTGATTTGTTGGCCTCGGGTTCGGGCGACTCGACGGCCAGGATCTGGAATATGAGTGAATCGACACAAACGGCACAACAACTCGTGTTAAGACATTGCATCCAAAAAGGGTTTGAAAATAAAAT